ACCCTAAACACTTTCCAGACATGGCCAATTACAGTGAGGTATCTAAACAGAAATATATTAAAGAATTCAGAAGAGAGCGATCATGAGGCCTCACAAGCATGAGAATGACTGCTAAATTTAAGGAGTTTGGCAGGGGGGAGGGGGAAGTGAGTCAAGCCACAGAGCACAAAAAAAAAAGCAAAGGAAATAAAAGTAAACAGAAGGAGGAAATGTTTAGCAGAAGAAAAAAAGACAATCTAACTAGCAAGATGCATGGTCCCAGCTCTAAAGGAGGCAAAAAGAAGATCCAAAACTTTCTCCAGCCTACTTTGGTAAGTCAGAATATGACATGAGCATCCTATCGGATGCAAACCGAACTTAATAAGCCTGAAAAGTGCAATTTCTTGAAAACTTAAAACCTGGAAGTGTCATGCAACCCAAAAAAACCAAAGTTATCAGAAGAATCACTGCTAAATGCCCACCTGAAATCTAACCTATCTTTTCAAGACAGCAAGAGAAAGAAGGGGGGGGGGGGGGGAAGACTAGAAGTAAAAACAAGAGCTACAGTACCATGTTCAGCTTTCCTGCTCATATAGAGAACCCCCATCTGCAAGTTAAAAATACCAGTGTAATTTTGTAATTGCTTGCAAACTAAGGTTATCAGCAAATAAATCATTGAAGAAAAAAAAATGAAGAGAAAAGGAAAAGGTACACAGAAATGGCACAAAACCCAGAAAAGATGGTGCATGCATCTGAATCACACCTTACAGCAAGTCTATGGACCAAACCAAAAAACTTGGGGCAGGTGTCATCTGATGAAGTGGGGAGTGGCTGAGCTGAGCTTTGCACTGTTAAGAAAACAATTTCAACTACGAACTGCTAGAGCAGAGTATCAGTTAAATGACTAACTGAACCAGTACAGTCATAAACTGGAACAGCAATCATTTCCGTCTGATTAACACCATGTTTTAAAACAAAAATAGTTACACAACTTCTAATTCCACTATCAGAACGTACTTGACAAGTGAAATATAAGCTTATTTTAAACAGTCTAAACCTCGTATCTGCAGGATAAATCATGTATACGGAAAAATGTTCTTCCAGATTCTCTGCATGCTAGATCACCATCTCAGAAGGGTTCACTCAACTCCATTCATTTAATTGAAACACAAGCTGTAAGTAAGGCCTGGTTATGACTCTGCAAGTTAAAGGTCTTTCCAATGAATTAGAAGACCAGAGAAATCTGTAAATGAAGACTTGTTCAAGGAAGAAAATACAAAAATTTTAAAGAGCTTTAAACACATCACCCATCCTGGCTATAATCAAGCTTAACATCTTCCTATCACTTAGAAAAGAAAGGTGCCTCAAAACTACACTCTCTTACCTTGTAATCACTATCGCAAGCGAAGAACAAACATCAGCTCCTATAATCAGCTTTTTTGAATGGTAGGTGAAAAATCTCACAATTTCCTCCTCGGTGTCAATGTCCCTTTATCATCATCACAGTAATTAAACTACAAATAGGAAAATGCTACTGGTACTGCTCAAAGTCCTATGATGACAGTTTTCCAAGTCCAGATCTCACATTCATTCATTCCGCATCATTGCGCACCCCGATTCCCTGTATTATCTTGTCTACACTGTCTCAGCAATCCCATGAGACAAATTTTGCCATTCTTCCCCCGATCCCCCTAGCTTCATTCCTCGTTTAAGCTCTGTGCAGGCCCTCCCTCCCTTCCACCAAGGTAAAGCTCTTACTCTTAGCATCATAACTGCTGTATGTAGCAGAGTATACACACAACTCACTGATTAGAAACGCGACTCCTCCCAATTCATAGACACTGGCACCCTTATCAGTACCAAGCTCAATTAAAAATTCCACTCCATCCCACGTACCATGTGCAATGCATCTCCACTTTGGCTAGATGGATGGAGTTTTTCCATCTTCAGAGCCTCAAAACGATCAAGGAAATCTCACCCATTCCACCTGCTTTTCTTCTGATAACATTGCCTCTTTTAGAGACTTCTGCACCTCTAGTCTCCTCATCTGCACAATTTTCTTTCTGGCAGGTGCAACACTGATACACATATCAGTTCTGAATGCTGTGAGAGAAAAACCATCAATACTGTCAATTCCGTGTTGCTGCTCATTTTCCATAGCACCACAAAAGCAAAATGGTTGTCTAACTGCAGACTCCAGGAACAGGAGACTGCACTTGTCTGCATTAGGTTGATTTTTAGAAAGTATTACCAGCTGCACATACGACAGCTTCTATGAACTCATTTCATTACACCTAAAGAGACCTATATTTCATTCCTACTTTCCACCTATATGTTCTGTGTGCGCAAGCCTCTCAGGTTGCTTTATTATACAAAATCCTCTAATTAATTCACCCTGATGTTGTATCTGTAGGCTGCCTAAATTTTTCACTCTATCCCATCCTTCCTCTAACCTTCCTTGCCTTTCTACAGCAACTACGTATGTCTTTGCCCCAGAACAGGATCAGAATCACCTCTTACATGGTTTTTGCATGCTATTTTCTCCCTCTTTCATGTCAATATTTCAAATTCACTCATTGACTGCTGCAACCAGAGCTCCTATGGTATCTTCTTCCAGACTATGCCATAGTCCCAGCAATCCCAAAGCACAGGTTCTACCTATTCCAACCTCACACCCTAATATATCATTCTTAGTTCTCCTCTGTACTTAGGATTCTGCATGCCCCCCCCGTCATTCTTTTCTCCCTACATCTTAACTGCATTTCTCCTTTCCTCTCTGAAAAGTCAATTATTCACAGGATTAACAGCACAAACCTGTTCTTTAATCTACAGTCAAATACAGAACCATTCTGAAAAGGCTGGCTGCTCTCAGCAGAAGACTCAGTGCATCCCTCACCTTCTTACAGCCTTCTCTGCACAAATATACAGTAAGTTTTTCATTTATATAGGAAACTATGCCACAAAATTTTAGCTATAGGAACCACTTCGTCTAAACAGAAATGTGGAGACCCAGATACCAAAGAGGCATCATTTGCCTTGGAAAATGTTATTTGTTGCCTGTACTTAGGTTTTCAAGAAATAAGCGAAAGGTAAAAAGATCTGTTCTGAGCAAACAGCAACTAAAAGGCAAGTACTTGTGCCCGTCAGTCTATAAGTTCTGAGAAAATATCCTTTCCGGATGCAAGGTGCAAAATCTCCTCTTTAAAGATGAATCACTGCTTCCAAGAGGGTTCAATTAACAATTATTCAATTGACACCATCAGTACAATCATTTATTTTACCAATGTGCAAAAAAAACCATTTCATCCTCTTACTGTAATACCGTTTTCAGAGATTTATTAACATGAATATGTAACACTGGTAGGAAACTATGAAAATCTGAGTGAATATGCTTCTTATTTCCATAGCTTTGCTAGAAAGATATTCAGTTGAGTTTCTTAGTGGCTATCCTTGAAGACAAGGAGGTTTCACCAACATCAAACATGTACTGAGTATCATTTAAGACTTTTCCCAAGCCCTCTTTTGGACAAGAACAAGAAAAAAAACTAAAATAAAATACTTGAAAGCACTGAAGTGACATACTTAAAGCCCCCTGTACCACCAATCAAGATTCCAAGAACAAAATGATACAAGCAACACGCTGACCAAAAAGAACAAGTAATTAAAAAAAGAAAGTACTCAAATGTAAATGAATCAGAGACTAAGATACTAGTGGCAATTAGTGGAAAATACAGTAAGGCAGCCAGACGACATAATCAATAGACAAAAAGGCACACTGCTATTAATAATTATTCTCTACAAGCTTGCCTCATCCTTTAAGTACAGGTATAGACCACAACCAAAGTAACCCAAACCTACATAACAGCTACAATTTATCTTTCCTTTGAAAGAAAGGAAATTTGCTTAAACTAGGTAATGGAGTGAATGTTTCAAGTTCTTCATACTTCACTGTAAATGCAAAAGCATCAACATCGGGTTAAGGTCACTGGAGACTGCGAAAGCACACACTGAAAATAAAAGCATGTATGCTTGTACCGTCTTCACATATTGCTTTTTACTTCCTAAGCATCTACTGTTGATCACAGTCCTTAAGAACATAAGCAAGAATCTAGCCTAATATCTTGTCTTACCTGGTATGGCCATTTTTGTCCAGCCCCATTAATAAACTGACCCAGCACTCCTCCCCTTCTCCTGAAGGCCTCGAGCATTTCTTGGAAGATTCTACCCCAGTGATCTTCAGAAATAAAGCAAACCTGAAGCAGCAACTAAATGAGATTTCAAAAGCCTACGTATCTAACTGCATGCTCTCCAGTACTCAATGACTTAGCCTGTAAAAATTAATAACTGAATAAAGGACATAATTCGGGATTTAATTTTAAAACTGGGGTTTTTTTGTAGCATGTGGTCTTCCCCGTTTTTCCCCTCACAACGACAGAAATTCAGTTTTGTTCGCAGATCTCTAGTAAATTACTGGGCACCCTTACTTCCCTAATAGGTATGAAAACCTAAGGCCTCTGGCAGCTTCTAGCTGACGCCATCGCTAACTCCACACCCCCTTTTTTGACAGGATTGACGGCAGACTAAGCCGCCGCTGCCTTCTCCACAAACTTACACAACGCCAGCGGTCTCCTACCGGGGTCTAGCACGCAGCCCACCAGCATAGCTGTCCCCGGCTCTCTAGAGGGCAGGGCGGAGGGGGCGGACAGGTAAGGCCCCCGCGAAGCGGCACTGCCCCGGCCCCGGCGTCCTGAAGCGGGGCGGGAGCAGGCGGCCATTCTAACGGCTCGATCCGAGCATCACAACCATTTCCTGCTCCCTCACGGCGGCTGCAGCAGCCCCGGGCACCTTCACGTACAACACCTGCCCAGCCCGGGCTTGCTGCCCCGTCCAGAGCTCCTCCAGCCTTCACCACCCCTCCTCCCGGCCCTCCCTTCCCGCCCCTCAGCCTCCCTC